ACTGTACATTGTTAGCACAGTGACCCCACTTTCACTGCCATGGTAACAGAAGTCAATTGGCAGACACTGAGGTTCCTTTTTTTCATGTCAGGAGTGACTTGAGAAACTGCAAGTCACTTCTGGTGTGAGAGAATTGGCCGTCTTCAAGGACATTGCCCAGGGATGCCTGGATGTTTTGCTGTTTGTGGGAAACTTCTCTCATATCCCAGCATGTGGAGCTGGAGCTGACAGCTCATCTGTGCTCTCCCTGGATTTCAACCTCCGATCTATTGGTCTTGTGTCCTGCCGGCACAAGGGTTTAACCCATTGCATCACTGGGGCCTCTCACACACCTTTAAGACTGCAGCATTTTGCCCTAGTGTAGCATCTCCAAGGGCAGCCTCACACAAAGCACATTTCAGTAGTAGTCAGGAACTTACCAGTTATCCCTACCCAGGAAAGACTGTAGCAGCTGATGCCTCAGTCAGAACCGATACCAACATTTGGAGTCATGGAATCCTCTTAGACAGAGATAGATCAGCGAGTAATCCCAAGCTATGCACCTGTGATCTGATTCCCAATTTTTTTTCACATTGCAACCTCCATGATGTGTGGGAGAGAGGCAATTTCCCTGCATTTCAGGCCCACAACATGACTCACATGGTCATAGGGAACAAAATGGACAGTAAAGTCTTTAGAACTCTCAAAAACAGTTACGAAGGTTGCATGAAGACAATTGGATGCTGCTCATGCAGTTGAATTTGTCCTCCTCTTCCATCACCCCCGGTACCTAAAAGGCGCTCCAGTGAAGCAAATCAAGGAGGAGAAGGCAACTACATCCCTTATCGCATACATGTATTTTAGTGGTGAATTATAATAACTGAAGGTTGCATCCAATGGCATCTTTAGTGGAACATCTGGCAAAGGTGGCCAATTGCTACATTCACACCAAGAGTTCTTTCTCCCACCCTGGATATTCTACAGATATATCAACCCCATTTTCCTAGTTTCCAACAGACTTCACAACCTCTGAGGATGCCTGCCATAGATGCAGGTGAAACGTCAGGAGAAAATGCTTCTGGAACACAGCCATACAGCCTGGAAAACTCATAACCCAGTTATTCCGGCCATGAAAGCCTTCAACAATACATCAAGCAAAGGGTTCATCATCCCTGTGTTAGCAGAACAGATTGACATCTATTATGTTTTCTGCTTCACAATGCAACAGTTATTTTGATATCAACAATGTGTTTTTCTTTAACCAGACAACTATATCAAAAATCCAACAAGTCCATTGCGCAAAAATCAGCTTTTTTTCTAGAACAACATACATGAGCCATATCCAGCAAATGGTTTAAATTACTGTCCAGCATTTGTCAATTTATTATCATCCAACTGATATTCATAATTTTGGTGAAGAAGATTGTTTTTGTTTTTAAAAAAGATGATCTGATTTATTGTTGGTAATTAAGGAGTAATTTTCTGCTGCATACAAGATGCTGATCTCATCTCACACAACAGAGCATGAAATACACTCTGGGGAGACTTCCGTGCTCAAAATATTAAGAGTTATAGGCTACAAAGATTGGACAAGGTCCAAAGATGAAATCACTTCTGTCCCATATTGCTTAGGTCACTCCTTTCCAAATATCAGAATGTTTGGCTTCTGCAACATGAGATACATGGGGCTTTAAAATATATCTTCAAAGACCATACATTTGTAAAGACAAGAAATCAAAGAAGCCCCTTAATAAAAAAATAAAATACATATCAGAGAAAACAAACAAGCAAGATATGTAATCCTTTATTAAATTAAAGCTGGAATCAGTTTAGAGGGCATGCTTATCAAGTTTGTAGATCACACCAGCTATTATTCCAGAATACAGAAACAGAAATAAAATTTCCTTGACAGATTAGAGAACTGGGCCAAAACTAACAAAATTAGTTTCAACAAAGAGAAGTGTAGGATACTTCACTTAGGTATTTAAAAAGGAATGCACAGAAGCAGGATGGGTGACACCTAGCCCGACAATAGTACATATGGAAAAGACCTTGGAGTCTTAGTGGACAAAAAGTTGAACATGAGCCAACAATGTGATGCAGCAGATAAAAAAGCCAATGGGATTTTGGGCTGCATCAATTTACTACTTCCATTTACATATCAAAATATTGTCAAAAACACTTGATTTTTTTAATGGTATTAGGCTGCCTGTGGTGCTAATCTCAGGGGAGGCAAACAGCATTTTAGTTCTTGTCAGATTATAGTTGTTGTCACTAAGTAAGGATAGGTAGATCAAGTTATTTTCATTCACAAATTTATGTTAATTATATATGTCTTCAGGAGTCCCCGGTGGCACAGTGGGTTAAACTGCTGAGCTGCTGAACTTGCTAACCGAAAAGTTGACAGTTCGAATCTGGGGAGCGGGGTGAGCTCCTGCTGTTAGGCCCAGCTTCTGCCAACCTAGCAGTTCAAAAACATGCAAATGTAAGTAGATTAATAGGTACCGCTCCGGAGGGAAGGTAATAGCACTCCTTGTAGTCATGACATCCACATGACCTTGGAGGTGTCTATAGACAAAGCTGTCTCCTTGGCTTAGAATGGAGATGAGCACCACCCCCCAGAGTCGGACACTAGACTTAATGTCAACAGGAAACCTCTACTTTTGCTATGCATGTCTTTAATTCCAAAGTCATGGCCATTTATGTGTACCTACTCCTAAAATGTGCATATTTATATGCAATGTATGGAAAAATGCTCTTGACATGCATTTTAGTATCCATTGAAAGTTCGCTACCCTGATGGTACAGAGATCTGAGTTTAGGACTATGACTCTAGAGACCAGGGTTTGAATCCCCGCTTGACCAGGGAAACCCCATTAGATAATCTTTGGCAAGTCATACTGTCTCTGCTGCAGAAGAAACTAAAAATAAACTCACTTCAGAACAAATCTTACAAAGAAAACCCAGTGATAGGTTGACTTTAGCCTCATAAGTTGGAAATGACTTGAAGACAATTAACAACAAATTGTTACATTGTTTTGCAGTAGACAAAGTTTGAAGCCAAGGACAGATTTGACAGAATTGCTTCCATCTGAGAAACAGGAAGATGGATGATCCTAACGAATGCCATTCCATGTGATAAAAATTACAAAGGAGGAACTGAGAAGAGAGCACAGAATGAGAAGAAATCCCCATCCTTCTGCAGTTGATTTAGGTTGGTGTGAGCATAAAATGAGATTCAGAAGAAACAAATAGGCTACCCTGAGCCCCTAAGGAAAGCGGAATGAACAATAATATTACACACGAGTCACACACTAATCCTGACGCAGATAAGCACAATATCAAAACAAACACAGCCAATCCTCCATATCCATGGATTCAAACATCCATGTTTTGAAAATATGTTTTAATCCCCAAAACATTTGCCATTTTATATGAGGGATACCATTTTACTATGGCATCCTCTATAATGGAACTTGGGCATTCACAGATTTTGGAATCCACAAGGGGAACTGAAACCAAACCTCAGCAGAAACCCCTGTACCTCAAATACTAGCAAACCTAACCTTAAAAAGAGAAGGAATGAGAATGGATAGGACACTGTCAGTTTATTTGATGAGTTTCCCACATGGACGCAGGCAGTAGCATCAAAAATCTCCTCATTGGGATTTTCTCCAGGTCTACTATTTGCTATGGATTACAATCAAGCCAAAGCACTTATTAAACAACGTATCACAGACACAGAGCGACAACTAGATCTGGCCTCGGTTCCAACCTTCCTTATCAATGAAGACAGCAGATATCTTGCCTCCCCTATGGCATATTTAACAAACTTAGAGGTTTCTCTTCATCGAAGGGCTTTCACCCTGGCTCGATGCCACGTTCTCCCATCAGCTGTACTCTAAGGCCGCTACCGGAAGATCCCTTTCCCAGAGAGACTCTGCCCCTGTGACTTGGGTCATGTAGAAACAATAGAACATGTGCTCCTTCAGTGCCCGTTCTACAGGGATATCCGTGCCAGGCTTATCTTACCTCTGTTATACAGGCACCCAGGCCATTCAGGACAATTTTATACCTCCTTGCTACTTGCAGATATTAATTTAGCTACAACCTACAATGTTGCAAAGTTCTGTGCAGCACCATACAAAATCCGTCAGGGAATGAGTAGTCTCAAAAGTTAACTGTGTGTTCAGTAATATTCTTCTCTGAATCTACAATTTGGTGATGGATCTGGGCATTGTATGTTTTTACCCTGTTTCCCCTTCCTTTCCGCTCCCTCACCCATATTGTGCTTCAGTAGTTATATTTATATTTTTAATGTACCAAACATACAAAGTTTGTATGAAAATGTGACTCGATTTCCTGTGCTGGTCAATGACCGAAATAAATTATTCGATTGATAGGACACTGCCCTATCCAAAGACAGTTCAGAGTGTCTGCAAGGACTAATCCAAGTCTTTCCCCCCCTCTATGCCATGCATATCTGCCCAGTAAAGCAATTTCAAACTTCTTCATATTTGGAAGCATGGGGTGTTTTAAGAAGTATTAATAAATCAAATGTTACTGCAGCTTTTTTAAAGTAACTTTATGATTGCTAAAAGACATCTATAATGAGAAAGTTACTTGCCTGATTTCCATCACACTTTGTGTAACCTACAAACAAATACTGATCACTGCTAGCCATTTTTATTGTGTCAGAAGCTGCTTGAGAAACTGCAAGGTGTGAGAGAATTGTCTGTCTGCAGAGACATTGCCCAGGGGATACCCAGGTGTGTTACCATCCTGTGGGGGGGCTTCTCTCATTTCCCTGCATGGGAAGCTGGAACTGATAGACAGGAGCTCACCCTGTTTCATAGACCTTCAGGTCAGTAGTTCAGCTGCCATTGCAAGCCCTTGGGCGGGGGGGAGAAGGGCGGGGTAGAAATGCATGAAATAAATAAATAATAAATGAAGAGCAGAGTGTTCAACTTCCAAGTTCAGATTTATACAGCTTTTGGAAATATACCATATGTTTTAATCACCTGTTTTGTAAATCACTGTATTTCTTTCCTGGAAAATGTGGGCACTTCTTCAGGAATACAGGATATACCTGGAAAAATTATCAAAGTATGGTGTTAGAAATAAGTATACCACTCAAGACATTACTCAGTTCCAACTTCGCATTTCATAGCTCCATGTTGAAAAATAATAAAATATTTCATTGACACAAAATTTATACTTGACTGAGAAAATTGATATTCTGAATGTTTTGCAAGATGTGAACTATTTGGCTATTTCAATATTATACTTAGTTCTTCCCTCTTAGAGTATTTGGTCATAACAGTGAGAATTTCCAAATAGTGCACAATGGTTTGAAGAAGGGGAGTACCATTTTCAACATCTGGAAATCAATCTTCAAAATCCAATTTTTTGATGCAAGATTGTGATAGTTGGTTGTACCTTCAGGCACAAAATACAAAGGAGATAATGGGGAGAGAGACAGCGAGGATGGACCAGAAATGCTATTCCAGTAGAGCTCATGGGCCAAAACTATTGTAATTATGTTCCTAATGATAATAAATATTTTATTTATTTTGCTATAACTAAACATATTGCATTTTAATAAAAGTACGTGTCTTCAACTCTCCTCTCATCTTATGGAGCAGGCATGGGCAAACTTTGGCCCTCCAGGACTCCAACTCCCACACTATTCCTAACAGCCTACTGGCAATGGGTCAATTGAGGTGAGCTTGGTGACTACTTCTCCTTCACTATTCCCCAGGGCACCTCCTGATGAAGCTCTCTTCCTTGATGGCAGAAACACGATTTTTAGGAATGGTTAGGAATTGTGGGAGTTGGAGGACAAAACACACGGAGGGTCGAAGTTGGCCCATGCCTGCTTTGGAGGTTCAAACAATTAAGAAATTAAAGAGATACTGTTCAATCATTTCTAAATACAGCTAAGTTTCAAAATAATGTTTGTTTTCCTGGATTGGTAGTGTTGCTGTTTCCGTTTTTTGTTTTTCCTCTTGTTTTCCTTGTTCCTGTTTTCTTGCCTGCTCATATTAGTTTGTTGTTACTGTATACTCTTATGCACAAAAATTAATGTTACTAAATATACATAAATTTGAAATATAAAGGACTCATTGTTTAGTCTGAAAGGCCACGTGGCTCTTAGTTTAGACTGTCAGTTTTGACTGAGTAACTCAAATCTGTCACTATGCAACAGTGTAGTCTGATGACCACATTTTTCTATTATTCAAAAACCATTACAAAAACAAACAAAAGGAAATGTTATATGTCCATATCAAGTGTCTCCTTTCCTCCCGCACTCTACATTGTGGCTGGTTTTGCTTCCTGCCCCCTTGCAAAATGAAAGAGAGGTGTTATCTTAAGGCTCAAGATAGTGCAATCCCCACTATAAAACTGGTAAAAATGCCCCATAACACACAAAAAATACATTAAGCACACTTCCATTTGCATGGACAAATCATTTCACAACTCCGCTCATGCCTCATATTGTATTCTGGGGAACAAAAACAGCACTCAGCTTTCAGGTTTATAGGAAACATCTGTCTGAAACTTTTTACCTACACACCTCAGACTAAACATATTCTTTTCAACTATGGCAAAAGGCACTGATGTATTGCTTAACAAACAAGGAAATAGCATTGAACTCCCCGTAACCCTTTTAGAAGACTACAATGAAAGACAATGCAGAAAAAACTTTGTCAACTACTGATTTTAAATATTTTCAACAGAACATGCAATCTGAGATCTTATCACATCTGCCATGCGATTTGCAGATAAGGATACCAGAAGATAATACTTTATTCTGTTTTACCTTTTTGACATCTCTTACTTTAGAGAGCCTCTCTTGATTTCCACAGATCCAATAGTCCAACGTTCGGCAGTCAGATTACTAAAGGGAGCGGGGTACAGGGAGTGAACAACTCCTTTGTTGCGCTAGCTCCACTGGCTGCCAATTAGCTTCCGAGCACAATTCAAAGTGCTGGTTTTAACCTACAAAACCCTATACGGTTCTGGCCCGGTTTACCTGTCTGAATGTGTTCTCCCCTATGAACCATCAAGACAATTAAGATCTTCTGGTGGGGCCCTGTTCTTGGTCCCGCCACTTTCGCAATTGCGTCTGGCAGGAACGAGAGACAGGGCCTTTTCTGTGGTGGCCCCTTGGCTATGGAACTCTCTCCTGATTGAGATCAGATCTGCCCCTTTCCTCCTGTCCTTCAGGAGACTGGTGAAATCCTTGCTATGGAAGGAAGTATTCCCAGAGTAATGGTTGAAACTGGCTACAGAACAAAGTTATCGACCACACATACAGACTCAGTTGGACATGATTTTATCTTGGCGATTTGGCTTATTTGTAATTTTAATCTATACGTATTTTAACGCGTTATTATATGTTGTTTTTAGATTGTACTATTAGCATTGAATCCTTGCTGTAAGCTGGTCTGAGACCCTCTACGGAGGTTGAGAAGATCGGGATATAAAAGTTTTAAATAAATAAATATAAATAATAAACAGTATGAGAAAAGACTACCTGACTTGCCCAGTCTAGTATTCTGAAAAATTCTGCAAAAATGGTGCTCTCCATTGGCAACAACTGAAACGAGAGCTGCTCTTGCCACTGTTTAAAACAAGTTAATACGGCTCTTATTTTGTAGATGGAGAAAGGCCCAGCCCCAGGGAAAGAGGGAATGTTAACTGTGGTTTATAGTTCACCACAAAGAACCTTTTCTTTTAATTTTTGTGTTCATGTCATTCTAGGCCTACTGTAGAGCCTAAAGTGTTTCAGTACAGCTAGAGTCCATCTATTATTTTCACAACAAATACAGTCTGTTCGTTTTATAATAAAACAAACAGAATCTTTATGGTTTCATTGGCTCTTTGTCATGAGCTTTAGAAAGGTGGAAAAGACAAATGTTCATTTTCAAAAGCTTTGGCAAAACATTCTGCCAAGCTAAATCTTATTCTCTGACATGGTGCTGTTTGGCCATTTTGCCTGGTTAAAGCAATTCTGCAGAAATGACAAATGAACAACATGAAGCATTCCAGATGAGACCGCCATTTACCTTGGTGTTTATTCTTCTCCTGTCTGTCCACTGTTCCAGGAAGTCTGCTAGTTTGTAATAACCATCACACACACATGCAATATGAAAATAAATCTGCTACATAGGAGGAGAAAATGAGTCTGTTTCCTCTTGTTGTGTACTATAAGCAAGTTTCCATCAAAAATAACATTTAAGAGAATTTAAAAACTCTTCCAGTTAACAAGTCTTTCAATGTAGGTATTCCTTGTATGCTAACAGTAGATGTTCAATACAAGGTTAAGTCCTTCTGCACTGTTAGCACCCTCTGGCATTCTGGAATTGGTTGTTTCTTGAGTAGACTCAAGAACCCTAGAATCATACAGTAGAATCATAGAGTTGGAAGAGACCTCATGGGCCATCCAGTCCAACCCCCTGCCAAGAAGCAGGTCAGTCACATTCAAAGCACCCCCAACAGATGGCCATCCAGCCTCTGTGTAAAAGTCTCCATAGAAGGAGCCTCAACCACACTTCGGGGTAGAGAGTTCCACTGCTGAACAGCTCTCACAGCCAGAAAGTTCTTCCTAATGTTCAGGTGGAATCTCCTTTCCTATAGTTTGAAGCCATTGCTCTGCGTCCCAGTCTCCAGGGCACCTCCCTCCTCCCTGTGACTTCCCCTTACATATTTATACATGTGTATCATGTCTCCTCTCAGTCTTCTCTTCTGCAGGTTAAACATGCCCAGCTTTTTAAGCTGCTCCTCATACGGCTTGTTCTCCAGACCCTTGATCATTTTAGTTGCCCTCCTCTGGAACATTCCAGCTTGTCAATATCTCCTTTCAATTGTGGTGCCCAGAATTTGACACAGTATTCCAGGTGTGGCCTAACCGAGGCAGAATAGAGGGGTAACCCTGTGGCTGAGGAGTCTAAATAGTCCTCTATAAACTGCAAATCCCAGAATTCCATAGGATACTGTCATAGCAGTTAAAGTATAACATGGTGGTATAACAGTATAGTGTCATAGAATCCTCAGTTTGATTGCTCATGAAATAAATGCTAGCATGGGAACCAACTGCAATGTTAATCTGCATTTCATTAGTGTTGCACCTCAGCTAAGGTTCATCTTGCTCAATAACTCACCAGGAAGCCAAATGTAATAATAAACAGCTTACTGAAAAAGCACACACAGTAAAAGAGTAAAAAAATCCAAATATTTAAGATAAAAGGAGCCCCCGAAGCCAGAGATAAATCTCCAATGCAAAGGTCAAATAAAGCATGAACATTAATCCAAGGTGTAGGGTATAGCCATGATCTTGATTAATCCAAAAGACAAGGAATAAAACATCAACTTGAATAGTCCAAGAATCAAAGAACAATACATGAGCTTGAGTCCATGGTAAAATCCCGAAGACTGTTATCAAAACTTGACTAGGACATGGCTTGAAGCAAGGAACAAGGCAGGGGATTCTTGCTCTACCTGCTATGTTGCTTGACCTGAGAACTGAAAGCTGCTCTTTCCCTAATTAAGTACAGCAATGCATGAAAGCATTCCATCGGCCTTAAGTAGTCTCTCTTGGCTTCCCTTTCCCATGGCCTGGCTTGCACCTGGAATTCTTCTGCCGCAGAAGCAGCCTTGATTCTCTGTCCAACCTCCCTTCCTCCCTTCTCTGCCTGTCAGCTTCTAAAACAGCTTCATTTTCACCCAGAGAATCAACCAAATCCCCGTCTGTTCTTCCAACCGGGGAATCACCACCCTGTTCTGACATCCCCTCTGTCTGAACACCTTCAGAAGCATCAGTCCCTGCAGATCCTGCACCCCCAAACCCCTCATCCTCCTCCTCAGCTGGCTGAGCTACAACACTTAGTGGATTTTAACTTGTATTTGCACTCTGTGTATTTTGTTGTATGTCTTTTAATAGTATTTTCTCTCTTGTTTTACTGACACTATGATAAATTATTATTATTATTATTATTATTATTATTATTATTTGTAATTAATTATACATTTTAAGCTACTAGAAAGGTGTATGTAATATACAAGACTCACCACACTACAATAAAA